GTGTGTGTGTGTGTGTTTGTACATATATATATATATATATAGTATTGATTAAGTGCATTGTAATTCAGTACTCCATGAAATATATATAGAAATTCAGGATTGTATTGAAATGTTACACAACCCTAGCAAAGTCTTTGAGAGATACAGTAACATTTATCTATAGACACTGATACATTCAAATCAAGACTAGGATAGTGCTGAAGAGTGAACTAATCTAAGATTTTCATATTTTCATTATTAGAAATATATATATTTTTTTATTTATGTGACTTTAAAAAATATTCTGTAGAATATACAGCTTTCATAGCAAAAGTGCTTAGTTAGGAAGTCTTAGCTGAAAATTTATTTTAAATTAATCTATTGAGGCACTTAATTTCCTTCTTACATTTAAAGTGTGTATTTAAGACTGATATCTTGACAGCATTCCAAATGTTAAGCCAATTACTGGATTCTCAACATAGATTAGGGATTAATTAATATTTATTTTTTCATTATTTAACATAAAAGTCATTATTTTTCTTTTCCTAACAATAATGCCCACTTTTTTAATTTTTAAAGATACTAAAGCCAACAAACTTATTCTTAGCAAGTTCTATTCATAACATATGAACAATAAGGGGCCATTTGGCCCTTCAAAATTGCCCTTGTACACCTTCCTTTGAGAAAAGTAAAAACTTAAACCAATCCTTTATTTTTCACACATTTATCAATTCCTCCTTTTGAACTCCAGTAAAGTCCTGACCTCCACTAACTACTGATAGTAACTCACTGTCTTAACTAGAGCCTAACCGGTTTTTTCCATATCTTAAACATGTTCTCTTGTCCTAATATCATCAGAATATAGTACACAGTAATCAAAGGGCTTTATTCTATCGATCCCCTGGATAATCTCGTTAACTTCAATAATATTATTACCTCTCACCATTCTTTTCTGAAGGGTAAATAAAGAAATCTTAACCTTGTTTTCTGAAGAGAAGTTAAGAGATCTTAAGCTATACCCATAAGTCAACCCTCCCATATCCTGGAATCATCTCAGTGGTTCTCCTCCAAACTCTTTTCAATAACTCAATATCCTTTCTAAGGTAAGAAAACCAAAAGTGTACACACTACACTGAATGAGGTAGAACCGATTATTTGTATAATGAGACAATAACTTATTTTGACTTGTGTTCAGTGTGTCCTAAAAGGGCTCAAGTGACTTATCTACAACATTGCCAAGATCCTTTTCTTCAGTCATTCTATTGAGTGTGACATTCTATTGATCTGTATCAAATGTATCCAACTAATGAATAATTAGCTTAGTGTACTCTGAGCTCCACCTGAGGAATACAAGAATGAAATTAATCACTTGATCCATGCAGAAATTTATATGTTCTGTAATACTTTGACATAAAGTAGGATACATATAGACTCTTGCATAATGTTTTTAACAAACAAAAAAATTTAGTTCTATACTTTTTCTACCAAGAAGTACATGTATAAAAAAAAACAACTGAAAGCCAAAATTTCTCAGGATAATTATCACAATTCCTTACATTATTTAATACACAATTTATAATATAAATTGATGTACCATTTAATTTTTATTATTTTAAGAAACAAACAGTCCATTCTTATAAGTCACGTATCTTTTCTTTCTGTAGTTTGAAATTAATAAAAAAGATTAAAAGATATTTTTAATGTACTGACAAAGGAAGCAAAAGCCTATTACCTTTCTACTCTAGTATATCAGCTCAAAATTTGTGTTAAGGCTGATACACTGTATAAAACATTAGTAAAGGTCATACATTTGATTTTTCATTGATGCTTAAAAGCAAAAATAGCTGTAGCTCTCACTTGGATAATAACTGACGTTGGTAAAACTATCCCCTATTCCAGCTGGAGACTTTGGATTGAAAGAAAAGTGTTAAAAAGACTTTAATTATTTTAACACTTAACTAGCTTTACTGTTAAAGTTTATTCTACAGTACTTGTAACATACTACATTGGACTAGTGTGGCCTAGTTGTTAGCATGCTCTGATTCTGAATGTGAGTATTAAGTATTTTGTGGCCAGCTGGCATTAAAATGCACTCCCAACTTTGGGATCTCTGCAGAACAATAAATCTGACACTCAAATCCAACTATTCAGTCAGACAAGAGTAGCCCCAGAATTGGCGGTGTGTCAAAAAAAAGAAATGAAAATACTTATTACTATTAATTTTGGTTTTATTTATTCTTGCAACAGAACACTTTTAACAACCCTGAGGAAGCACATCCAGTGCATAGATAGCCCTTTCTGTAGATTTGCACAAATATTCTGAAACAAACATACATTCAAAAAATAGAGATTAAAAAATATTTCCATACTCATAGGGTTAATAAAACTGTCTCATGAAGTTAATAAATATATCTAACTTACGAATAACTTTACATCATATCAATTTATGTGCACTTAGTATCTTAAGTAAAGAAAAAGTAAAAGAGTACACCTTTTTAAACTATTTTTACCAAATTGTTCGTGTACATCAGTAGTTGGAGTTAAAGTACCTGATTCACTTTTCTCAGAGAGAATGAATTTTCTCCAAATATGGCTCCAACTGGAGCACTTCTGGGTAAAGATGAAACAAAGTTAACTATCACCTCTGAATCTTTCAAAAGTTCCTCATCTTCTGGTGTTGTTGGGGGTGCAAATTCAGGCTCACTAAAACTGCTGTCTTCAAATAGGAACCCTTCAGGTGAGAAGAGGTCAATGTCTAGGTCTGAAGACAAATCACTTCCAAGTTGTTTTTTTCTAGTGTTGCCATAATTATTCTTTACACCTCGACGATGATTCATTGTTTTGTTTACCTCTATTTCAAGACAACTTCACATATATTGCTTTTTCCTAACTCAGACCTGTTGTGAAAGCAATGAAACTAAAGATTAAAGAAAAAGTTACAAATATACTCAAAAACTGAACAAGTGACTTGTGAGTTTTGTTTTCCATTCCTAAAGGCAGCTGCACTGAAATGGTAAATCCTCACAGATCAAGTACTTGTACAAAAATCAAAAAATAATGAAAGTATACACAGTCTAAGAGCTGCATTAGTCTTAACAATTTAATGTTCTTCTAGTGACTAAAAGTATTTATTTACAAGTTTTATTATTCCATTTTTAACAGTTCATATAAGAGTTTGAATTCAGTTTGTTAAATAAATAGCAAACATGGTAGTATTTCAGTTCAATTTGTAATTACAGAAGATTCTATATGTTTAATAAAATGATACAAAAACTTAACCATACTAAAAATGACAACAGTGCTATACAGGAATGCTTAATAACTTTTTTGCACAGGGAAAAACAAAGTATGTAAGTTTAAAATATGTTTCTAAACAATACCTCTAAAATTTAATCATACACATATAGTATTCATTGTAAACTTTTTTTCTCGGAAAATACTATCACAAAATGTTAGACTACCAGTTTGTGAGACACTATGGTATACACAAAACAAGATGATGGTGACGAACTTCGTGTTATGAGAAAAAACTCCCCTAGCTCACCTATGAATTAAGAATACTCAAAAGTTATGGAAAACAAAGACAGGAATTTTCATAACTACAGTTTTTACTATGATTAACTATGTAACTAGGATCTTTTATACATAATGTATTTTAAGAGAAAGGGTCATTGTTACTTTATAAAAACTCCAGTTGAGACCCACTCTGATACTACAACTAAGTAATTTATTATTTTTACACAATATTCCTCATATTGAAAAATACTTGACAATGACGTGAACGATGTCAAACATGTATAGTGCTTGTTTTTATGACCAATGATCAGTTTTTTAATATACAATGTTGATTGTTGAGTATTTTAATATATTTTAAATATTCATAGAAATTCAATAATGAATAAACTCAGTATTCCAAAGATTGTTTAATCTCGAAGTCTACTTTCAAGGGTGGTCCAGTTCAGTCTACAATTTGATCAACAAGTGTTACTGGGTTATACTAGTTTTGGAGAATTCCACTCCTCATCAGTAACCCTGAAAACAAGTAAAACAAAGAAAGATAAGCTGGACCTATATCACAGTGAAAAGTATCAACCAATCTGTTGGTGTGAATGTGATTTGTAATTACTATGATAAAAAACCTATACACAGGATAGGTGAAGTGAAGAATAAGTGTTATTGGCCACTGTTCAGTTCTTCTTTCAATTTTATCCAATCCTCATACTGTTTTACATACTTAAGTTTGAAAAACAAAACGCTATGTTAGACTTGTGTCAAACTACGAAAGCCATTGCTCTATGTTAATAAGATGACAGATATTAATATACCATACTAATCTAAACTTAATGCAAGATATTAATAAAATAATTTAAGATCTCGCATTTTTTATTTTTTATGACACTCATTATTTTCAACCAATTGTACAAGTTTTCTAAAACTTGTAGTAAATTTGTGGGGTACAGAACTCATTTTAGCAAATAATTATATAAACTGGGTGATAAGATAACCTTAAAAATAGTTCTTATCCCAGATTATTCAGTTTTTCAAATTTCTTTACTCTATGTACGTAGAAGTATGGAAGATATTAATGGCATTAATTCAGTGGATATACAGGTATAAGAATTGATTAATACATGAGCCTTTGTTACTAGTAGTGTATTAAACTCTTGGGTATTTTATACTTTTTCTAGCTGCATAGAGGATGTGAGGTTTTACATAATGTGCAGATGGCACTTAGGTAGGGTAGGGGGGGGGGAAGTCAAGTCAACTCTTGTACTGAGTATAACTTGTTTATTTTGCCAGCAATACATGTAAATGATTATTAAATACTACAGAAAACAATATGAGTAAATGTTCCCCCAAAAGATCGAGAGTTACATTTAAACTTTAAAAAAACTGTGTGTCCAGCCAGACCATGGATCACCAATAAGCCCCTCCCCTTTCCAAGTTGAATTCCAAAATGGTACTCCAGCAACAGAATGGCTTGGCCTTTAATTTCAGTAAGTGTATGGTAATGCACTTCGGTTATCATAAGTTGGATTAGAGCTGGGCAAATAATTCAATTACCTATGAACATTGATTGGTTTGATGTGAAATAATCAAATAACTGAAACTGCATTTAAACTGATTAGTGTCATAAAAATATTCAACTAGTTTCCAATTATTTCAGTTACCTAATAATTGAAATATTGCCATTACAATTTTTTGATTAATTCAACATTGTTCAGCTTAATCAGTTAGTGTCATGATTCATGAAAATAATCAACTAATCAAAATTAGTGTTTCTTAAAATGTAACTGTTAGTTAAGGTAAAATTGCTTTAATAAAAAAAGGTTACAAAAAATTAATATTAATCATTCTTTCTATTCACTGAATAACTTGTTTATTTAACTGTGTTTGTCAGAAATGATTAGACATTGACTAGTAACAGCTTAACAAAATTGTGGTGAGCTATGTTTTCATATTTTATTCATTTGAGTAAGTCTTTTACATGATGTAATGAATATGTGAAATCTAGAAGTTTCATGAAAGTTTAGGCTTCTGTGGAATCTTGAAGTTTCCTGTAATATGTAAAAGACTTGCATAATATAAAAATGCCCGGCTGACTAAGTTAAATGAATTAATCAGGTCAGTGTCAGTTAGAAAGTTTTTAGTGAGTTACACAGTGAGAGTTAGTAAGTCTGTTCATCAGTGACCATGTTAGTAAGTTAGTCAATCATTGTCTTTGTTATCAATCAGTGAGTGAGGACATTTTGCATGTTATTAAGTTTATTTGCGAGTTAATCATACCAGAGAAAGTGGTTTCTAGCCTTTGTAGAAGATTATTATAGAAATAAATATTTTTTTAATGTTAAGTGGACAAGACTTTGCATTATTTTTACCAAATAATCCAAACAATCAACCCAATTATAAAACACATCACAACAATATGTAACACCATTAAATCACAAGCCTATTTACACGAACAGGATACCCATTTAATTATGATTCGCTCTAGCTAAATAGGAAACAATCCAGCTGTTATCAAGTGCCACTTATACACTACCTCAGTACAGCAAGTTTTAAGTTCTTTGATCTATTGATTTCTCAACAAACACTCGTTTCAACAGTTTTTTTAATAATAGTACTGTGTTCTTTCTGAACTTACATCCATATCAAAAATTGTTTGCAAAAAGCTTGTTTTTTTTTTATAAAGTTATTTACGTTTTTCACACTGATAATGGAATTAGAAAATAATTCAGAAATGTCTGTGATTTTAATATTTCTTATAGTACTTTAATTTTCAACTTGTGATTTACTTTAATCTTTATAAATAGGTCATATAGTATCATCAAAGGTTTTCTTGGTACTGTATTTGTTTTTCTAGGATCAGCGAGTTCTTTTTACTGAATTATATATTATCTATCACACACTCTGTGAAAATAATTTTTACTAGTTCTATCACATGAAGTCTAAGGACAATTATTGTAAATAGGGTAGTACTGTGAGAAATTGTAAGGACAAAAACTTGAAATAGTAATTATCATGTTTCCTAAATTGTTATACTGGGTAATATCTATCATATTAAATGAAAGTTAGTTAAAATGTCTTTAAAAAGCCCCAAACAAGCTGACAATAGGAAGATAACCCTTATGTGAGAACAACTGATTAGTTGAATGTAATCAGTTAATGACCCTGATGATTAATTGATGAGCAAATTCCGAGAGTTACACAGTTCTAAAAGTATTACTACTGTATAAAACTACCTCTCGGACTCTATCTAGAATATTATATTATATACAGGTCTCTCTGTTAAAAAAATATTTTATGAGCCTAGTAGTACCAGATGTTTATCACCAAACCTTTAGATTTTTCTAAATTTTAGAAAATAAACAAATTGACAATTCGAACTTCACATTATAATTAACTTTCTCACATTATGTACCAAGAAGTTGCGCCAAACTATATAAAACTACTGTATTATGTTAAATAAGAACTTACTATTAAATCTTACAGTGCCTACTACTATCACTCACCCACTACTGCCATTAGTACTAACTCAGTAACTGTTCCTTATTAATACTATTAATAGTAATACAATAAATAAGTAGTGTATTACTACTAAGTAGGTAACACTACTACTACTATTAGTATTGAATAGTAATGTTTTTGCCAGTGGTTGTGCACTACTGCTACCAGTTTTATTAGTACCATTAACTTGATTATGTATATACTTAGCCCTATTACTACAAGTACAAATATTAGTAGATAATGCAGTACTACAGTTACTTAGTACTAGTAGTAGTCCTAATAACATTCCAGTTACTTAGTAAAATAGTAATGTAATATTAATTATTATTAATATTATCTAACGTTATTTGTTTCTTTTATTACATTACTACTAGTAGTAAAAGTATAGTGTATAGAATAACTATAAAGTATAATATTACTATTAGTACATAAATTTCGAATACGTATGCGGTCAAAAATTAAATTTGAATACAGTTAAACTAAAAGTAAAACATACTTAAATTACACATTTACCATAGTAAATTAGAAACAGTAAAAAAACTAAAATGTAAAATTAGTAACGATACTAGAACTACTTAACAGCATACTTCCTCAATCATTCTTCAAATATACTGGACTTCTTCATTATTCACTTCTTCGAAATTAAAAAATGTACATACGCTTACTCATTTTACTGGTTTTGATCTGTAGCATAGGCATTCCTTGAATAGACCATTACCATGGTCTCACATTTGTTTGCAGATGGCGACACATTCCTGTATAAAACAAGAATTAAGAATAGAAAATATAGCTGTACATAACTGAATTTGTCTGTGTTTAAAAATCGAATTAATTAGCTCCGTAGTACAAAACTGTAAACAACAAAAATGACTGAAGCATGCCTACATAGATCGAACATAATAAGCATTCGTAGTTTCCGATTTGATAAAATGAAATAGATAAATTCACAATATGCAATCGACAAATCGAAGCTATTATATTACTTGCGTAAACACCTAGAAAATGCTATTTCACCTATTTTACCATAGATTTTTTTTATAAATCACTTCTAATAATTGATTCATGTACATTTATACTTATTCTTACCATTTTAAAAACGTTGTAGCCCATATATCACTTCTCATAAAACAAGTGGTAATTTCAGCCTCGCGGATTTACCTGTGTAGTCAGTAAGGGTTTCTTAACTGGATACTCAATAAAACCAAGCTATGGAGCCTGCTTTTCTCTGAACCTGAAAATAATTTATCGTGCAAAAACATCAAAACAAGAAACAAATTCAGAAATCACGAAAGTGTTTATTAAATATAAAAACAAAACAAAATACAATACAATATATAGCAAAACAAAATGGCAGGTGTTTCCCATATACCGGTATATATGTGTTTAACTAGTAGAAGATATGAGAGAACCGTTAATTACTTTTTCTCTTGCCAGTTCAAATATAATCCTTCCTGAAGTCAAACTATAGATAAATAAATCCAGAGAAATCTAAATAACAAAAACAGCCCCGAAAAATAACTGCAAACTAAATAAACAAAGTAAACCAAAATCCGATTTAACCGAATTTGTTCAAAAGAATCAAATGCTTAACTTCTAGACTTTCTTGAAAGATATATTCTAAGATGATCCAACGTTATGTTCAAATCACGTTTACTTAAGACAACTGGTACGCCTAAAACTCTATGAGAATTCTAAAAGCTCCCAGAATTATAAAAGCAAAAGTTTAAAATAAGATGCTAGCGAAGATCATATAGTCATGAAGTTTGCTAAAATCTGAAGATTCTGAAGTAAACCTGGCCCTTTATATAAGACAGAAATGCACACAAAGCCATATTTGTTTCTGGGTACAAGGTCAGCAAGTAATCGGTGTGTTTGGAGCAAACTGCATGCAAAATGGCCACCCCTAGTTATTATCCAATTATCCAACATGAAAAACTAATGTTTTTTCTAATGTCATTACAAGTTATTTTTTCTAGCAAGAGAACACAGATAGGGCCCGGCATGGCCAGGTGGATAAGGCGCTCGACTCACAATCTGAGGGTCGCGGGTTCGAATCCGCATCTCACCAAACATGCTCGCCCTTTCAGCCGTGGGGGCGTTATAATGTGACGGTCAATCCCACTATTCGTTGGTAAAAGAGTAGCCCAAGAGTTGGCGGTGGGTGGTGATGACTAGCTCTAGTCTTACACTGCTAAATTAGGGACGGCTAGCGCAGATAGCCCTCGTGTAGCTTTGCGCGAAATTCCAAAAACAAACAAACAGAACACAGATAACAGCCAATTTTAAACAAATTTACGGTGCACTCTAGCGAAAAGGGAAGTAACCTACTTGAGCGCCCAATACGTCAGAACTGAGAACGATGAAAAATACCAAAATGTTTTTAAAAAATGTTTACACGTCAACTGAAGAAGTAGTAAACACATAGGACGGTTCAGTACTACAACGGGAATAAACTGATTCTAAGTTTCACAAACTAATTGGTAAAACTCGAGTCCAAAGGAAGTCCATCCTTATTAATCAGGTGCAACTGAATATTTTGTTGTTCGAAACACAGTAGCTTAGTTGGCTATGGCATCTGTCAATAAGCACAATTGCATTTTCTGATTCTTCCAGTCTTTGTCTCACCTGAGAAACGTTCTAACTTCATAGAATGGCGTGCATAGTATTTCCAACCAAATAATGTTTTTTTTGTTTGTTTGTTATAGAATTTTCGCTCATTACTCCTGGGATTCACAATACAATCACCTTAACCACTTGGTCGTGCGCTGCCAAAATAATGTTGATAGATATTATTTGGTATTTTCATCCTGAACGGCAATATATGTTACTCACGAACCAAATTAACAGGTCAGAAACCCTAAGGTTTAGTTAGGTATGACTATCCATAACTTATTCATTTAGAACTTCTGACCAGAGGAAAGCAACCAGTTAACAGCACTCGCTGTTTGAAAATTCGTAGATTTGGCTGATAGTAATATGCGCAAGATAAGTTAGTTTTTTCATATACAAAAGATTCAGTAAACCAGAAGCGTTCAGCAATTTTAAAACAAAATAATGATAATAAAAGTTAGGTATTTGTGTTCGTATCATTTTAAGTGTTATTCATTTTACTTTAGTGCACTATAAATAATCTTTAAAATTCATATTGGTTTTATAAATACAATATTTTTATTTGCTAATAAACCACGAAATATTATTAAATAATTGATTGAACAAATTATTCATTTGTCTAAAAATTTAAAATTGGTGACGGCTTACGCAGGGTTTCGATACCCGTGGTGGGTAGAGCACAGATAACCCATTGTGTAGCTTTGTGCTTAACTTCAAACAAACAAAGCTAACGCAGGTAGGCCTCGTGTAGCTTTGTACGAAATCAAACAATTAAACCTTTGAAGACCGCTGCCTACATTCCAGCAAAGCAGTTAGAATCGAACAGAATATGTTCGATTCTTCTATATCTTATTTTACAACGTGTCAAGCACAGTCCTACTGGCAGTTGCTCATTTAATGATGTTTGTGAAAAAGATGAAAAAGCTAATATTAAAATTCAGTATATTAGATTAGTGGTAATGTCTGTCAGTAGATGCCGCCACAAACAATAACTACCAAAAGTTAGTCTGTTTTAGTGAAAAGCTATAAAATAGGCTATCTGCGTTCTGTATCAACGAAGGGAATCAAATTCAGGATTTTAGTGTTTTATGCCCATAAAGTTACCGCTGACTTATCAGTAGACAATTAACAAAGGAAGATAACATTTATTTACCTTTAATGTGTTAACAGTTTTAGTTTTATTTTATACGTCTTGGTGTATTAACAAAAGGACAGAATACCAAAGTAATGTCAGTTTAAATTATCATAGCATGTAAGAAACGTTTAATGAAGAGAAAAGTGAAATGCTGTAAGCAACCAAGAAAAAAGAAAGTGGTTATTTCTGTTCACCAACATTCCCCAATGGGTCAGCAGTAAGTTTCCAAACTAATAATGTAAACAGGAGCAAAGTGAAGTCCCTAAATTTGGAGTGGTGTATGACTAAGTTTTGTCAATAAAATAGATTTATTAACATGTATTTTAATAAAGTTGCATAATTAAAATTATAATATAAATATGTAAAAGGTTGTTACATGCGCACTTTGAGTGTCCCTATGCATAGGGTTAAATAGCGCGCTCTGAATAAAAAAGATAATCAGCAGTTCTCGATATTCATAAACGGAAAATGTGTAAATGAAGATAAAGTGCTAAAACTATCAGAACTGTTGGCAGACTAGTGTGCGTCACGTGATCCAATTACGAAGTTTATCACCTTTTGCTGAATGCTTGCCGAATTTTTTATCGGCATTTTTGTTGTTTGTATAAAAATTCGTCGCAATTTTTTTTCTCTGAGGTTTCCCCAGCAAGAAGGATAAAAATTTTGCCAGCAGAATTCACAGAAAAATTTGATTTGTGCTGACAAATGGTATATTATCGGGAGGTGCAGCATTATCGCATCCCCATTCGCTAGGTGCCTGAATGTAAAAATACAGTGTTCGATACCTTGCGGTGGGAAGAGTGCAGATAGACCATTGAGTAGCTTAGCACTAAAATAACAACTAAAATAACGCATATAAGTGGAGGAAATGAAACTAAACCCAATCCTAAGACTGGATGGTGCGGTCCATTTAGTAAAAGACAATATTGTTGAGAAGTGTGAAATTGTATCTTAGAGTTGTATACCGATAATTGGTGTTGCACCTTCGCAAAAGCTTATGTGCTTTTTAAACAAAATCTCAAGTACAGTAATACCCCATTTAGCACTCAGGAAGGGTTCCTGAGAGCAGAGCTTTAAACGAATTAGCTCTAAACAGGGTCATTTTAACATAACATATATGGAGATATGTAAATGAAGGCATTGTTTCTTACCTGTTGTGAATGATGTACAAGTGCTTTATTTAGGTACTGGTAAATTTAACGTAAATTACTCATTACAATATCTACATCGCTGGAAAAAAGCAAATTTTTATTAGCCTTCAATCTTGTTTGGTTACAGAGCCATCAAATAGAAAATCAGATCCTTCTCCCACGCCCACCTCTCTCTTTCAGGATTTGTCAATACATGTAGTTCTCTTTTATGTTTACGACCATATTAGTTATAACCAATATACAGGCAAGGTTTTGCTCTAGCAAATGATTATTATATTACTTTGTTTTCTGTACAGAGATTTGTAGATCAGGAACGATCTTGTGTAGATGGATGATGTTTTAACGGTTCATATTGCGTTGCTAGAAACGCCAGAAAAATTGTGATAGTTAAGGCACATTGACTGCTTTTTGCATGTTATTATTATATGCTCTTTGTTGCGTTATTTTATTAAATAAAAATGATTTAGTGCACTACTAACATTAGTATGAAAAAGTAGTGTTCAGAGAGTTATGGATTTCTACAATTTTTTTTCTCTTTTGTGAAGCCCCCAGTAGCACAGCGATATGTCTGCGGACTTACAACGCTAGAAACCGAATTTCGATACCGTGGTGGACAGAGCACAGATAGCCCTTGTGTAGCTTTGTGCATAATTAAAAACAAACCAAACAAACAGACTCTCTTGTGAACAAAAACAACTCTCAAGGAGACAAGAGCTCTATAACGAATCAGCAGCGGGGTGGTGCTAAACGCGGTCTTACTGTATTTGAAAACTAGTAGTTATTAATGTCCTTCATAGAGGGCACAACAGACAAACATAGAAATAATTGAAACGCACTTATGTCAGAAGTTAGAAAATCCCACTACAAATACAAATTTAGTCTACGGTATACGATATAATGGTTCATACAATATAAAATAAGTGAAAACGTGTTTCTAGTTATGAGATTTATAAGGAAATTTACAAAAATAAAAGCCTTTGGCTATTACGAGATGGAATATTAATGATGCAAGTTTATAGCCAATTACGCATTGTCAAATGAAGTGTTGGTAAAAAAAAAATATTGAACCTAAAATACAAGTATGGAATATTTAATCAAAATAATAGCAAGGACTGACTTAAAACAAGAGATAAGTAATTATTACCTTTCAAGACAACTGGGAATAGTGGTAATTTACGTGTTTTGGGAGTAAATTTATATTCCGTTTTGTTTTCAGTTTTTCTGTTAGAATCTTTAATATACACAATGTATTTCTATAAACGTAAATAGTATTTATTTTTATTATTTACTTGGTAAATTATCAAACCTATATAAAAGCCAGTGTGTGTCACGTAACGCTTGATATGTCGAAATAGGAGGAGTAATAAAAGTTAAAATGCATTTATCCAGATAGAATAGTTCATCAATGTCTGCCCATTACGATTTTAGTGACGGGGGTGCCGTGAAAACTTATAAGTGTAGTGAGTGTTGGTATAATAAGCCTAACGTAGTGCGGGATCACCTAGCCTTGAGCCAAGTGCATAAAATTTATCATGAAAGTAAAATATCTATTCAATTTAAAACTTAAATCATTTCTGAATTAAGCTATTTTATGTTACACCAGCAACGTTTTAAATAAAAACAAACCTCTTTAATCAACTAAAACTCTAAATTTAGAAATCAACAAATATTTTTTCAGTTTTGTTGTCTATACATTTTTTATACTTTCAGTACATAGATTAACAACAATATTAGGTTATACTTTTGTTGCTAAGCAGCATGACATAAAAAGCCATTGTTGGAAAGTAGTGTTACCAAAATATACTGGCTTTTCTATATATTAGAAATTGTTAATCTAACTGATTTTTACCAATAATTATTATATGAATACGCCACGAATTCATTTCATGAATGATCTTAATTTTGATTGACTCACAAAGGAATTTACCGACGTTTGACTGTCTCGACTGCACTCTTCTGCCTCTTTGTTGGTCAAGCTTTATTTTGCAAAATTAATTTATTACAGTTACCTATGAAATGTGAGGTTAGGGTATACTATGGGGTGGGAGTGGTAGTACTTGCCTCGTCACTTTTGACGAACTATACGCTAGTATACATATAATTACCATTTTAAGATTGTTAGAAACACCCGGATATCACTGCATTTAGAATTTATTTGAACATTTGGAGCAAAAGTATTTAATACAGTCAGTGTCAAATATAACGCATACATGTCGTTTTATCACGAGAAGTATTTTGCATTGTTTGCTTGTCTTTGTTTTATAGCAAAGCCGCACTGAGCTACCTCCTGTATCCATCACGAGGAATCGAACCCTGGATTTTAGCACTGCTGTCCCACAGGGGTGCTGTTTTGCATTTTCGCTTACAATGTGGGCTTAGGGCTAAACTAAGTCCCCTAAGCTGATCGAATAACATGCCATATTATTAGGATTATGATAGGAAATATCGGTAACTGCGAAGTTACTCAAATAGGTGAACCAATGCATTCTAATCATTAAAAGTTTTTTTTACATTACATATTCCTAGTTAGACCGATATATTAAAATATCTACATTACTTGCTAGGTAAGCTATGGATTCTAATCTGTGTACGTAGCTCATTTTGATCAATCGCCCCCAGTGGCTCAGCAGCAAGTCTGAAGGCTTATTACGTTAAAAACCAGGTTTCGATATGCGTGTAGGCACAGCACAGATAACCTTCGTGTATCTTTATACATAACAATAAACAAACAAACAAAAGCTTTGATTAAAAGTTACTTACGATATATGATTATTGTAAACTACTGCAGGTACTTGGGAACTAAAAATTTAGTGAGTTGTCATTACGTCATCAAACTATGAAGTGTAGTTAAAGTTGCATATTTGAATTTAACATAGACATTCAGGAATATAAGTGTACTTTCGTTTATACAAAGGGACTTTTACTTCGTGAATATTGTATTAAATGGCATGAATATAAAAAAAAAGGAACAACGCAAACAGTCAACAGAATGGTAAATAAATCGTGTTTTACATAAAGTGTGTACATGTATGTAAAGTAGAATAGAAAAAGGCCGTATGTATAACATTAAGTGTCACTACAGTATGCAAGTTAAATCTGACAATTCTTTGCTTCCAAGAAAATATCAGAATAAGAGGTTGAAGTATGAGTTCTCTTGAAATATGTTTGACGTACTGGAACTTACGAATCCACAAACTGAAGATGTTTGTAAGTACTAGCTAACCCACTGAAGAAGTCTCGCATCTTCAAATGCTTTGTGAAATCACACAAAGGCGGGGTGGGAGAGGTATTGTCCATGAAAACCATACCTGATACGTTACGTTTTTGAAAAGGAGGCTTTTCTTTATTAAACTGAATCCCCAATTTATCAAACACTCATGTATTTTAATGCACAAATTCGAATATCTAAACCCCCCACTAGGAGGGCGTGGAGGTTGAATACTTTCTGGATAGGTAGATAATTAAATTATTATTAGCAGTCCCTCTGAATAAAATAAACATAAGAACATTGATTGACTCGTTGCCTAACAACGGTCATAAATATGCAAAGACGACTAAAACCAAAATCGGCACAAAACTGAAACTGATTTAGAACCATTTTATTGTGTTAGTGTCACAATAGTTATATCTTAAACATTGAAAATGGCGTTGGTATAATATCAAAAGTTTAGAAAAATAAAAGGAGTACTAAAAATCAACTGTGGTGCACGAGACTAAAATAGTTCATAACAAATGTTTTAATTAAGTGTTTAGCTATTTTCTTTTGGAGATTGTTAGAACACACCCGGCATTCACCCCATTTGGAATTTAGTTGAACATTTGGAGCAAAAGAAATACAACCAGAAATTAATATAATGCCTAACTGGGCTGAAGGAAGAATACTAAATTCGAAAATATTTGATCTAAAAAGGTTTTATGTTTAAGTTGGTGTTTCGAATAAAACATAATTTTGGGTATACGCTTTTTATTCAAGTATACTTATGTGACTGATGGTACTCTTTTTTTTTTAAAAGACAGCAATAACATAGATATGTACGGGTTCACAAGAATAAATAAATCATCATTTTGCTTGTGTGTACATGGAATCTTCAAGTGTAAAACACCAATAACGTTCCAGTTATGAAACACAAACACGAATGCTTAAAACAATTACAGAGGTTGAGTATATTATATTAAAATAATCTTGGAGACCTACGAGGTCGTTACAGCCCATGTTGCAATGTCCGGTTATGCTCTACCTGACAACCGTGCATCTTGATAATAACACCCGACGCAGGCTTCATCGTAAGGCTATCATGTCCACAGAACATAGCTCCTCACTGATACTTTCCATCATCCATCTAGATTACGAAGACGACAGTTTCCTAGCGCGCTTTCAACAATTTGATTGCAGAGAAATTCATAGGTGCTGCATCCTGCGACTGGGCCGATATGTCATTTCATTTTCCAACTGCTTGAGGTATGCGACAATTGAACAGGAGGTATGGCCGGAAGACATACCCTGTTGGTCCCATTGGTCTTCTTGATTATGATGGATTCTGTTGCGTGGGTCGCGAGGACGGTTTTATCTACTGGCCATTGTGATAGTGGATTCTCATCTGTCACGAGACGCAGCACTTTGCTTAACATGGCTCAGCTACGACTTTCTGGATGGTCCTTGTGTCCCACGTTGATCCATATTTATTTGTTTTCATATGCGAGTAAGTACAGGGATATCTCCATCTTGAAACTTATAAATCCATGATCTAAACACATCTTTATTATCTAAGTGAACATATATTTGGCACTAAAAAGGGTAGATACGTATCCTTCTAGAAGGTGATCAGTTTTCCATGGCATCATACTACCTACGAAACGCCTAACAACATTACAATTAGTCCTCGCGCATTCGTTCCACCGCTATTTTATCTCGACTGTTATTGTTACGTAACTTGCTTATTTGTATATGTAAAAGTATTTTAATATAATATACTCAACTCTCTGTAATGTGATATAGGCTACGGCCTAGGTAATGAATACCGACAAAATGATTCTGGGATATTGCGCGTGTACTAAATATCTTCGTAGCTATATCTGTTTTTACTATTTTTTTTAAGCTTTATAAAATTATTGTAACAAAAACAGACACTTTTATACACTGTGAAGACCTAGGTGCCATCTAGAGACTTCAATTTAAATAGAAGTTAAATAAGACACCGGTTGTTGCCGGTGGTAGTCAAGGTGACGGCGTACAGTGCAGGAGTACTTCACGACCGAGGGTTTCTGAATTGACCGAATATGAGGAATATAATTAAACTTATACATGTTATCAATAGGACTCATTCCATTCGCTTTGATACTACTTTCGTTATTATTAATATTTTGGGGGAAAATTAGATTTTACACAAAATGTATAGAACCGTTGCTTTTGCGGGATGACTAGAGCGACAGCTGAAATACGAATCAGATTAAGTATTCACACAGATTTGATGACGAAGAACCCACTTTGAGACTAACAAGGCTTGCAGCCGGCTTGAATGTATAATTATGTTAAACTTAAAATAAAGTTTTCTTCCTTGCCTATTCAAGCAGTTTCCAAACTATATTGTGTATGCACACGTTTTGTTACGCTTTTCGTTTTATAATTCACAATAATATCAGAGCTAATTAACTATGCATTCAGAGGGTGTATTTTGAACACACCTCGTGATGTTTTTTTTAATGAAATATTGCGTTCCTAAACGTCAGTCAGGCTACAGGGCGCTTGGGAGAAAGAGGGCATGTTCTTTTCACAATTAACGTATCAGTCTCCTAACAAACTGTCCTTGAGTTGCTACTTGCTGTTTGAAGGCCAATAAACCCCACACAAGTTAGGGTTAATCATCGTAGAGAGAGAACAAACAGCCTTGGATATTTCAACAGTGGGAGAGCGAGCGAAAGGACGTATCATACAGGTAAGGGCAACTTCTATCACTCAAATTATTGTACATAATTCTGTTATGAAACTTAACTGATTCATTCCTTTTAGAAAACGTCTTTTTTTTTACATATACTTCGGAATTCATACCAGCGAATTTGATACGCATCTAAAATAATGTGAGGTTTGAAGCTGACTGTAAATATCAAACTATGAATGATAAACACAAAATAAAACAATGTTCAAAGTCTTCTAGTATTTTTGGCGTTCATTTGAAGCGCAAAACTATACAAATGACTGTGTGTGTCTCTCGCGGAGATTCGAACCCCGGACTTGAGCGTTATAAATTTTTGTTGTTGTATGGTACTTTTCAGAATTGTTAAGAATGTGCTTCATGTGGTGTATGTCGTCTGAGAACTTTATGGTCTAATGAACAAAGTTTAACTAATAAAAACAACTAATCTTTATCTGATAAACGAGTTAGTTATATACTGGATTAAAAAACAACTAATCTTTATCTGATAAACGAGTTAGTTATATACTGGATTAAAAAACAAGAACAATATAGAAAGGATTTGTAATATCTGCAAAGTGAGAAACATAATACAAATCCAATCTGCTGATAATCCATTCTTAACTTCTAACATACATATATGTATATAATTTTTCATGTTATTAAGTTTCATATTCTTATATCTTCTACAAAACAAAACAAAACACGAAACAACCAGCCTTAAACATTTACTTGTATTATTCGTAACGCTTGAACTTAATTATGATATTGTTTTTTAATTATTACTATTACTAACAAAAAAAAAGCGTTTAAGACCTGATAATATTGTTGTCGCAACTGATCGTTTCCCACCTATTTTTTTAATCATTCCAGTTTTTAAACACTAACCAACTGCTTTTGCGGCGAGTGGTTAATAAAATGGCACCCTTGTGATACAGAGGCTATTAATATATAATTCGAGTTTCCATTCCCATACAGTAGAGATCAGGTTGATCAATAGGTCAATATCAGTCCACTGTTGGCTGCACCTTAACTTGTGTATTTCCATGATAGGAAGCATACAGCACATTTGCAAAATAGCAAATGCACTTATCCTGTACTTCTGACCTAACACGGGTTGTGAATTCCATCTTCTTTGGTCCTCTCAATGACAATCTGAGTGGATAACACTTTCGGACTACTCGTGTTCTTAGAGCAGCTGTATGTAATTGGATTCGTACACTACATCTGCATTTTATTGTTTGTTTGTTTCTTTGTAATTAAGCACAAAGCTACACGATGGGCTATCTGTGCTCTGCCCATCACAGGTATCGAAACCCGGATTCTAGCGTTGTAAGTCCGCAGACATACCGCTGTGCCACTGGGGGCGCATTTTATTGAACAGCTACGAAGAAACTCGTGGAATTATGAAAGAGTTGCATCGTATTATGCTGAGAAGTCATGGATGGTTGTTCACATTCTAATTACTGTTTTATATGTGTTGGTTTAAATGTAATATGTTGGCTTAGTGACAAAGAAAAATACAAAAAAAAAGTTTTTGATACTTCTTTCAGACCGATAGAAGATGTTATCTATGAATACAAACACCTTAAAATTGCTTCTTTTTTTTTCTATAAACGCGCGATTTCAACGAGTTCCGGTGATACGTTATAGTGATTTAATGCCCTTTCTTAGTACTTGTGATTTCAGGTTTTGGCAGCGATATTAACTTACAGTTCCAAACTATTGTTAGGCCGTATTAAAACAATTAATTAATGCGTTTTTCATTGAACCACTTCTATTCTCTTGTTGTATAGGTTTCCAAACAATTAACAAGGCAGTCTAAGTTCATGCTGGGAAGATATTCAACATTAGGTAACTACAAAAGTAATTATATTTTATTGTAGATTAGCTTTTAATTTTTCCTTGTAAAAATATTACATATATCAGTGAAGAATTGTTTATTGTTTATTTGTAATTAAGCACAAAGGTACACAATGGGCTATCTGCGTTCTGCCCACCACGGGTATCGAAACCCGGATTCTAGCGTTGTAAGTCCGTAGACCTACCGTTGTGCCACTGGGGGCATCAGTGAAGAAATAAAAGTAGAATATCAAGCACAAAGCTACACAATGGGCTATCTGTGCTCTGCCCACAACGGGTATCGAAACCCGGATTCTAGCGTTGTAAGTCCGTAGACATGCCGCTGTGCCACTGGGGGGGGGGGCATCAGTGAAGAAATAAAAGTAGAATATGAGTTAGTATCCAGAAGTTCTCGGGCCTATAACATTCCCCCAAAGAAAGTACACAAGAGCCTACGGTGGTATTACTTCCAGGTTTTTTTTCTTTCTAGTTTTGTGGATTTGGGATTAAATTTTATATTAAAATAAATGTGTAATTTTAATACTTCGGGAATCTGTCTAGATTTGTAAAATATATTCTGTATATATTTAAAAAAATCTAAAATCCATTACTCAAGGTAATTAACTGTTATTGTATGTCTTGTAGGATTAATCAAGTCTCAGATACCAAATAACAACAAAATGTAACGTTTGATTTGGATTGAGAATATAAATATATACATACTTGAAACATCAAGATATTCTATTAATGTTATTATTCAGGCGCTCTTAAAGTCTCGTAAAATTCACTAGTAACAATTTCCTTAATTGAATGTATTTTCTGGGCATCTGGTAACAGGACTTCCCGCATTTTTACCGCGCCCACTAAACCAGTCTTACACAACGTACAAGAAGATAAGCCTTTTATGGAATTATATTGTGTAGTTTGTTCTAATAGTTAAAGCAAGGCTTACAACGTCATAATTTTTTATAAACATTTAAATTCGGCTAATATTCAATACTGGAAACTTCTATTTTATTATTCTTATCCAGTATGTGGTACCGAGTGCGAAAATTAATAAATCTATAGTAATAAGCTCTTTTTTTGTGGTTATAACATGACAAAAGGTTTTATTTTCGTACTTGTATCCCATATTACAAGTTTATGTTCAAAGAGTACTAATAAGTTACATTCATTTTACCATTTCTCTGCGTTATACACACACCTATAAGCGTCGAACCCTTTGAGAACTGATGGATCTGAATGCATCAGACTTTCTCCAGTGTTGCTCCCTTTCATATAGAGCTATAGATTTCGGAGTTGGCAAGCCAGTCTCGAATTTGTATAATTCCGCATAATATTCCCCGAATTTTACGTTTTGGGTGCGTTATAAGAGTGACAATCAATCTCTTATCACGGATTAGGTAGAAAGATATCTTGTTGTAGGTCCCAAGCAGTGATATAGACTGTTTTCGATTTTTTTTTACTGGTGTCAAAATTGACCATTTGAGATTGCGTGGTGGAGACATTGGGCATTCGTCCGTGAATGCTAGCCTCTTTAATTTTGTTACTTTGTCGTACAGCTAACTGGTAGAATATATATGGCTAGATACGTGTACTAGATTGTACATCTGTATTCCGTACAGGAAATTGTGAAACATGTTCATACTTTTAAAGAGTTAAGTTATAAACAATGGACACGACTTCTCTTTAGCTTAGTCAAGGTCCATCGGGAAGGAAAGGGAGGGCTCCTGGTTTCAAAGAACCAGGGCTTGGGACCAAGGGGACCGGGGAAGAGAAGGAAAGAAGAAAGGGAAGGAAAGAAAGAGAGAGAAGACACACACACATACACACACTTTGGTAGTATTTTAGACTTGACAAAAAAAAAACACAATTGAACCTTTTATCAGTCTGACGATAACCGAAGGAATTATTGTATCATGCACTAATTGGGCTTGAAGAATTGATCGACACAAACTATTTTTTCAGTGTGATGTTTTACAGTTCTCTGATATGTATTTCAACGATACGATTCTTATCAAAATCGCTTTCATTGCTTTCGTGTTATGCCAACGTTAATGCCAATGGTGAAATACTGGCAAGGACGAGGTGGGAAGGTTTGAAAGAGATAAAAACCGTGTCACAATTTTGGCCGATAGCAGGTAATTATGGGAGGAGTGACACCAGGCTCTGACGAAACCTGGCTATATGTGGCACAAGGCTCTGACGAAACCTGGCTATATGTGACACCAGGCTCTGACGAAACCTGGCTATATGTGGCACAAGGCTCTGACGAAATCTGGCTATATGTGGCACCAGGCTCTGACGAAGCCTGGCTGTATGTGGCACAAGGCTCTGACGAAACCTGGCTAAATGTGGCACCAGGCTCTGACGAAACCTGTCTATATGTGGCACAAGGCTCTGACGAAACCTGGCTATATGTGGCATCAGGCTCTGACGAAACCTGGCTATATGTGGCACCAGGCTCTGACGAAACCTGGCGATATGTGGCACCAGGCTCTGACGAAACCTGGCTATATGTGGCACAAGGCTCTGACGAAACCTGGCTATATGTGGCACCAGGCTCTGACGAAACCTGGCTATAGTGCTAATTTATATAATAACAATGAACATATGACATAATTTATAAACTATGAGCTCGACTTGTCTCCTTTAGCTTTAACGCTCATTTATAAACGAAATTAATATACAAGATAGTATACAATGGATTCGACTTTCCTTTAGCTTTAGCTCTCATTTATATAAAACAACCAATTTTAGGTATAAACAAGGGCCAGGATGTGTCTTCTCTAGCTTCCAACGCTCATTTACAAAAAAATCACAAAATAATTTAGATTTAAGATATAAACAATGGACTTGATTTGTCTTTTCTTATTTCCAACAGTCATTTATGGACAAATAACAAGATGACTGTAATAAATATTTGGGAGTATCTTACAGACAGGAATATAACGATCTCTCTTTTTTTTTTTTGGATATATGTTTTGTCTAAAAATAAATAATAAAAGGCTTACAACATTTTAATATTGTATTCTGTGTAATAATTATCAGCATTGCGTCTGTTAGCTAAGTTCCAGCAACGGAACCGAACGCTCGCAAAGAAAAAAAATCCATCTCTTTCTTTCGCGGACAGAGAAAATCCATAAAATTATTGTAATATCTCACGCAATGAGTCTCAATTCTATTTAACAATAATCTAAACTGGTAAAGTATTTTTCTAGCAAATTTTCCTTCTTCTGGAAAACATAGCGAAATGTTGTCATATTCTATCACACTGTTCGCGTATATAATTACATTAATGTTAAAAACGTTTCTGAAAAATATATTTTTTCAAGTATATATTCAAAATAATCAATAGAGAAAGTAATACTAAAATGACTGCAATATTCACGAAGCACAAGAAACTATGCTGCGTTCTTTCTATACATATACAGTATTAACTTCCGATCTAAGCAAGCTACTTTAGACCATGACTAAGATAATCACGGTAACGAGTATAGCTAATTAAAAAATACTGTTATTACATTTAAAGATAATAATGCAGTATTCCATCAATAAGATATAACGCTTTTAAAGGCGTGTCTCTCAGTTTTACAGAAAAATAAAGTGTTCTAATATCTTTGTTTGTTTGAAGTTAAGCACAAAGCTACACAATGGGCTATCTGTGCTCTGCCCACCACGGGTATCGAAACCCGCTTTCTAGCGTTGTAAGTCTGCAGACATACCGCTGTGTCACTGGGGGGGGGGGGTTAATATCTTGAAAACAAAAAAAGCGCATCAATAACACATTCAGCAGAGATCGAACTTCGAATTTTAGCGTTATAGATCCTTAAGCTTACCGCTGTTTATAAGTCTGTCGTTGCTGTATGAAACATTTGCTTCTGTTACATATAGTATAATGATACTGATATCAGGATAGAAACTTAGAACGCAGACAAGGTTCTTTTGTTGGCTACCATTATTGAATGACATTTAACAGTGCAAACAAGGTGACCTTCACGTACTGAGTAGGTTTAGCTAGATAATATCCTACACTTATCCGCTTGTCATCATTCAACGAACAATAAAGAATGTTTTACAGACTGGTGTATGATAAAAGTTCCCACGTTTAGAAGAATGACGTTGCAGGGTTAGTTCTGCGTAATTATCCAGTCAGCGCAATGTTGTCTACAAATGATTAAAACTTATATTAAAAAAAAAAACAGGCGTATTTTTGTTCATTGTCTTCATAATTGCTTGACTTGTTTTAACATAGATTGTCGCTCATACTTATTCATTTAATTACTTTGATAGTATTAATTATCATTTCTCTTATGTTTTATACTGGATATTTTTCTTTGTTTTTGTATTTTATTCTATTTGAATTTTTTCCAGTAGCATGGATTTTCTTATGGCTTGTCAGTGCAACAAATCAGGTAAGCCTAATTAATTATTCAATACAATAAACCAGCTAAGACTAATTAATTATTAAATACAATAAACCAGCTAAGCCTAATTAATTGTTCAATACAATAAACCAGCTAAGCCTAGTTAATACACTCTTGAATAATTCATATAAGATTCTTCTTAATTTTTATTTCAGTCGAGAAGATCAACATTTTCTAACTAAATTATTAGAGACAAATTGAAAAGTGTCCATGCTGTTGGGCAGCAGACAATCTGCGGAAAGTTGTAGACGTAAAGTAAACCTTTATTTTGCAACAACTGTTTTCCAATGAAAGTATGTTTTGATATACATTTTAGACTTGTTTAGCTAAAGGATTCTTTGTTTTGCTTAACCATGCATGTGGATTACTAAGGTTAGCAGGTTTGGATTATATGTTCATGATTAACTTCTGGTGATTAAGTTAATTATTTCCTTCTTAGTCAAGCAAAGAGAAGTACATGCAGGCATGTACAGACCAAGAGCTCTTCGTCAATCTCGCGCCTCTTCAGTTTTCCTGCAGCGGCAAAAGACTTGGAGGATATTACGCTGACATTGAGAGTTCCTGTCACGTATTTCATTTCTGTGGTCCAGGCTATAAGGGCGGCGTTGCTGACCATGTGTTCTGTTGTCATCCGGATTTGGTGTTTGACCAGAAATTCCTGGTGTGCGACAGACCTGACACTGTGGACTGTGCTGGGTCTGCCCAGTATTATAACTTACAGTTTCGAAATTTTCGCGACTACCCAGAGCTACAAGATCAAGAATTTGATGAAATTGCTACTACAGATCTCACGTTGACACAAACAGTTCATGATAACACCAACGAACCTGACCAGTTAACTCGAATGAATTTCCGAAACACATTAGTCACAGAAACGTTAGTGGAGCAAAATAAGTTCAAGCCAACAGCATATTCAGATAATACTGTCGTAACGGGGGTAGTAACAAAATTAGAAAACACTTCAGTTTATCCTCAGAGGCAGAACACTGCTAGTATTTTTGTGGATACAAACTACGCTAGTTCAACGCCATCTATCTTAAAGAATAATTTTAACGAGCCAATAGTAAATCTCTTGGATGCTAATCGTTCAGGAATGGAAGAACCCCTCTTAGATTTCTCTGTGTTATCAAAAATGCAGATTACCACTAACAAATATATCAACGCTGGCCAACCTCCACCAGAAGCAGCAACAGTTTCTGTGACGTCAGAATCAGAAAAAACTATAGTAACAAATTACGTTAAGACAGACACAGAAACGACTGCACTAACAGATTATATGATATCAGAATCAGAAACGTCAACAGATTTCATTACATCAGAACTAAAACTAGGAACAAACAATTCACTGAAACCGAAGTCAGAAATAGCGACATCAAAACCATTTACTACCACAGTAAAAGGTCCCGCGACGTTAGAAACAGAAACTACAGTTGCAACAAATTCTGTGACCTCAGAATCAGTTCATGCAACGTTAATCAATTCTGCTATATCAGAACCAGAAATAATATTACATTTCATGACATCCGAGCCAGAAACAACACAATTAGCAGATCCCATGACAACAGAATTAGAAAAAACAACAAATTTAGCTATAGCAGAACTAAAAACAACTGTCTCTCTGAAAACAGAATCGGAAACAGAAGCCTATTCCGTGACATCAAAACCAAGTACAACAGTATCTATTCCCGCGATATCAGAATCAGACACATCAGGATTAGTAGATTCCGTGTCACCAAAATCAGTTACAGCAGTAGCAGATCCCGCAATATTGGAACCAGAAAGAAATATAATAACAAATATCGGTTTATCAGAGCCAGTTACGACAGTAAGAAATCTCATCTTATCAGATCCACAAACTACAATAGAAATAAATACTTTGTTATCAGAGCCAGTTACAACAGCAAGAAATTTAACTTTACTAGAGCTACTAACAACAACAGTAGTGAATTCTGTGATATCAGAACCTATTAAGAAAGTAGAACATTCCATTTTATCAGAGCCACATATAACAATAGCAACAAATACTGTGTTATCAGAATCAGTTACATCAATAAGTAATCCCATTTTACTAGAACCACAAACAACAATAGTAACAAGTTCAGTGAAACCAGAATTATCTACGACTGTAACATATCCTGTGATATCAGAGCCAGAAACAACAACAGTAACAAATTCCGTGACTTCAGAACCAGTTACAACATTAAGAAATCTCATTTTATCAAAGCCACGAACAACAATAGTACCAAATTCAGTGATATCAGAACCAGTTACCACTGTAACATATACTGTGATATCAGAGCCAGAAACAACAGTAACAACTTCTGTGACGTCAGAACCAGTTACCACTGTAACATATCCTGTGATGTCAGAGCCAGAAACAACAATAACAACTTTTGTGATGTCAGAACCAGTTACGACTGTAACATATCCTGTAATATCAGAGCCAGAAACAACAACAGTAGCAAATTCCGTGACGTCAGAACCAGTAACAACATTAAGAGATATTATTTTATCAGAGCCACAAACAACAACAGTACCAAATTCAGTGATATCAGAACCAGTTACCACTGTAACATATCCTGTGATATCAGAGCCGGAAACAACAGTAACAACTTCTGTGACGTCAGAACCAGTTACCACTGTAACATATCCTGTGATGTCAGAGCCAGAAATAACAATAACAACTTCTGTGATGTCAGAACCAGTTACGACTGTAACATATCCTGTGATATCAGAGCCAGAAACAACAACAGTAGCAAATTCCGTGACTTCAGAACCAGTAACAACATTAAGAAATATTATTTTATCAGAGCCACAAACAATAACAGTACCAAATTCAGTGATATCAGAACCAGTTATCACTGTAACATATCCTGTGATATCAGAGCCGGAAACAACAGTAACAACTTCTGTGACGTCAGAACCTGTTACGACTGTAACATATCCTGTGATATCAGAGCCAGAAAGAACAACAGTAACAAATTCCGTAACTTCAGAACCATTTACAACATTAAGAAATCTCATTTTATCAAAGCCACGAACAACAATAGCACCAAATTCAGTGATATCAGCACCAGTTATCACTGTAACATATCCTGTGATATCAGAGCCAGAAACAACAGTAACAACTTCTGTGACGTCAGAACCAGTTACGACAGTAAAAAATGCCATTTTATCACATCCAAAAACAACAATAGTAACAAATGGCGTGTCATCAGAACCAGTTATGACAGTAACAGATTCCGAGACACCAGAACTCGAAAGAACAACAAACTTTGTAACAACAAAGTCAGAAATAACACAGTTAACAGATTCAATAACATCAGAATCAGAAGCGATAACAGTTTCCTTGACAACAGAAAAGGGAACCGATTCCGTCGCATCAAGAGATTCAACTGTTGAATCTAAGACCACTATCGGTAAGAGTAAAAATGTGAGCGTTTGAGAATAAATCTTAAACCTCACCACGTAACTTCAAGCTCTAGACAACAATTCCTTAATAACCATAATAAATCAAAAGAATGCTAAGAAGTGTAATATAACAGAACCAGAAAATATTTTTTTTAACAGCTTACACCATCAGAGGATTCAGAAGACGCTTTTATCGTAACCGAAGCAGCACGTGATGCTCCCTTAGCAACGGATAAAAACTATTTTAGCTCTTTATCAGGAAATTATAATTAAAACAAACGACATACTTCTGTCACTGAATTCTTTCTTATCGACCAATGAGTACAACTTTGGAAATATTTATTGAAAATGCAAGCAGGCCCGTTCTCAGAGGTTTAAAAGTCCTGTTGTGAATAGGAAATGAGGGGGCTGTTTTAACAACTCTCTGAGTGTAGAAATTTCGTGTGTATTTTATTATAACTCAAATCAAAATCAGAAATCGAGTCTAAAAAAAACTGTAAACAAAATAAGTCAGAATGTTGCTATTGTTAATTAAGATTCAGGTTACATAACCTCGAGATCAGTGTTTACTATAATGTGTTTGTGGGGTCTACACGACGTATATCACGCCCACTCACAGGTTACTTGTATCCTAGAGATCAACTTTCAGTATAAACAACATTATGTTGTTTTTTGTTGTTGTTTTTTGTCAGGGGGTGATTGAGAGGGGGGGGGATTCTGGACACGTTCTTTCCCTCTCTGGAGAATCTTTGCCCAAGGTTCCTGATACACATCCAATTCCAACCGTGGCAACTGCCTTGTATTTTTGCAAGATTACTTTTGTATTATAATTATTCCTATCAATAAAGTTTAAGGTTAAAAGACTTTTAAAGAACTCCCTTAATTGAAATTAACCGAGTTTAGTTTATTTATGATATCCAGTTATGTAGCTTAAACATATTAAAAAGCTAGAGTTTTCACCCTAAAAAGTGTTTTCATTTAGTTTTACTTCAGGCAACTAAGTTCTTAAGCAAGTGTTAAACTAACTTGAGAATGGCGTATTTTTTAGCGAAGTTTTTTGAAACTAATTAAAACAAAAAATGCACTTTACGACCTACATATATTTTGTTGGAATATCAAGAAACAGTTGAAACTTGCTCACCAAATACTACTCTTAACTAATACACATCTATAAGAAACCCATTCAGTTCACATTATCCCAGAATGTAAATAGGATATTCTGAATTAATACATAACTAACACACAACTATATCAAAACCATAAAATACAAAAGCCCACAATATGAAAAATACTGAAATAAATCCATATATAATATACAACTATAATGAAATCACACAACACATATCCACAAAATGTACAATACAAAGCTCTGAAATATATAACTAATACACAGATATAAGAAAATCACACGATGCTCATATCCACAGTATGTACAATAGGAAGTTCAGAAATAGATTGATAACTAATACGTGATAACATATCCACAATATGTACAATAGGAAGTTCAGAAATAGATTGATAACTAATACATGATAACATATCCACAATATGTACAATAGGAAGTTCAGAAATAGATTGATTACTAATACATGATAACATATCCACAATATGTACAATAGGAAGTTCAGAAATAGATTGATAACTAATACATGATAACATATCCACAATATGTACAATAGGAAGTTCAGAAATAGATTGATAACTAATACATGATAACATATCCACAATATGTACAATAGGAAGTTCAGAAATAGATTGATAACTAATACATGATAACATATCCACAATATGTACAATAGGAAGTTCAGAAATAGATTGATTACTAATACATGATAACATATCCCCAATATGTACAATAGGAAGTTCAGAAATAGATTGATAACTAATACATGATAACATATCCACAATATGTACAATAGGAAGTTCAGAAATAGATTGATTACTAATACATAGCTATAAGGAAACCACATGATGCACGTATCCACGGTATATATATATTTATAGGAAGTTCTGAAACAGGTGTTCATAAACTAATAGTGGATTAGTTCTAAATATGTCTTGAAAGCCATATCAAGATTGGAGTTCACGTGAAAGGTTAAGAAGTAAACATCAGTAGATATGTAAATAGTGATATTGATGTAACACCTGAGATAGTCATGCTGTTATGAAAGACACTGACAAGCGTTTAAACTGATATTTTGTAACTATTTCACGTGAAACAAAAACACGTATCACGGTATTAGACGAGTTCCTGTTCGCTTTCTGTGTTAAAAAGATAGACACGAAGAACACTTTGTATACCTCACTTCCGGTAGTCTTTTCCATTTCCGCTTGTGTTCATCAGCATTTCGATTCATCTGAATCTTTCTTCTTCTGTTTTGAACTGCATTTCTCATAACCATTGCATTAATATTTATACTAAGCAGAAGGTTACGACGAACCAAACTTTTTACAATTCCAGTTAATGAAAAAAAAGCAAAGAATCAAAATCTGAAGAACATGTCTCTTTTCTTTATACCAAGACTAACATTGAGGTTATTAGAGATACATATCGATGTAGCTAACGAAGTATTTGAGGTGTGATCAATTTTGGTGTTTATTATGTTTTTCTAAAAGAACGAGAACTGCCGATTGTGACAAAACCGTCTGATTTAAGAATAGTTAATCCTCAATGTGTTTAAAATCCTATGAATAGATATATTTAACATTTGGATTAATGTCGGAACCGTTCTAAAAGTAAAATAGATGACGCTATGCGTCCATAACTCAAACGATAAAGGTGTCAGGTTTTATGTATTGAAAATATTCTTTACAGTAGGTGTCTGTGACTTGTTGGCGATACATTTTGACAATAAACAAACAGTACACAATCCACTTATTTTAAAATTATATATTAAAACAAGTCAAACATATATATAAATGTTCGTTACACTATTGGTTATCACAGCTGCATCGAGATCTTTAAATAATTGTATCTTTTTCGCCAAAGTCCACACAGACTGATTCAGTTACTTTAGAACACAATTTGACAAGACAAATTATTCTTCTCTGCTCTGTTATTATAATACAGTCAGTTATAATTTCATTTTAAAACTCGCCACTAAACGTTCTTTATGGCTAAACTCACAATCACATAGTCCAGATTTATATATTTATAACTAGCTCGAACTACATTCTATACATGTATTTAGACAGACAGTTTTAAGATGCCAGAATTTCACCAATAATTGAACTTACGATTAGTTCCAAACGATCAGATTTCGAAAAGCAAACGTTTTACATTCATAAATCATAGAATAAGTTTACGGAACACTAAAACAAAGAAAAAAGACTTTAGACATGCAGTTCTAACAACGTACAGATATATTAGTTTGTTTTCAATTTCGCGCAAAGCTACATGAGGGCTACTTGCGCTATCCGTCCCTAATTTTGCAGTAATAGATTAGAGGGAAGGCAGCTAGTCAACACCATCCACCGCCAACTCTAGGGCTACTTTTTACGAACGAATAGTGGGATTGACTTTCACTTTATAACGCCCCTACTGATGAAATGGCGAGCATGTTTGGTGACGCGGATTCGAACCCGCGACCCTCAAATTGCGAGTCAAACTCCCTAACCACCAGGCCATGCCAGGCCCGTATAGATGTATTATTAAGAACGACGACGATGAGAAGACATTGTGTGAGGCTAACATATATATATTTTTATATATATATTCCAAAGGAGTACTCAGGTTTCTCCTGTAATCTATGGATAAAATGAATTGAGAAAACTATTTAATATAAGTGTACTTTTAAAGTAAGATCACTGACGTATTGGAAAGACGACCGTGAAAATAAAATGCACACTATATGCATAAAATATTGAAATGCTAGATTAAAAGGCATAAGCATTTGCTTTCAAATTTTTTATTCGTTTAGTGTATATTTCCAGATAGATTCTAATGTCAGAATTTAGATACAATATCAACACGAATGAGGTGTATCATTAAAACAAATTACATGCTCTGTGTACTACCACACTGAATTGACATCGGATATATTTTCTCATCATACTTGGAATTAAAAGTTAATGTTCCAGTCCTTTGCTACATGATATAGATAATTATTTTCACCGATAAAGTGATTGAAAATTTTATTTCATTTCAATATTTTTTGCTGTTTAAGGTATTTCGAACATTTTTTTATTTGGAAAGAAAAACATATTCATACGTTTTTAATTCTTTTTCTTATTAATGTTTGCTATTATTAAATTGCAAATGTAATTGTTGTTTTATTCAACAAGTCCGTTAATAAGAAATTAACTTCACTTTTTCTTTAATTTCCTCGTATTTACAGACTACAAAGAGAAACATATAATTGTTATACAGATTTTATTACTTTATATACATTTCTAGCCGTCTAACGTGGTGCCAAATATAATAAAACTTGGCAAAAAACGAAAATCAATTTTTGAGAAATACACGCAGTTACTGAGTCCTTGGACTCAGTAATGGCAGGCAGACTGTTAGATTTTACAGAAGATAAAACAAAGAAACAAAATGCTTGTCTCCTAATTTCTACAAATATAATTAAACAATATTTTATTTTTTTTTACTCTAAAACGAGAATAACCTTTCATACAGGCTGAAAATGTGTCGCTTCGAAAATTCAGTTTTAACTGCTATCGCTCGAAATCACGGTCTTCAAGATGGCTGACTAAACCAATACAAATACCGAAGGTTCCGAGTTCAATATTAATAAGAAACGAGCTAGATCTCGCATTTAGCCAAGAGGCAAACACTGTACAGTTTCTCCCCTAAAGCTTGCACACTGTGATGGAAGCAAATATTTTTTTAAGGGTTACTATAACATGTGAAAGGAAAGGCTTAATTATATATTTTTTTGCTCATATTTTTGGATATCTGTATATTCCTAATCCCAGGATTGATCAGACATTTACTAACAATGTGTACTTATGAACCCAGGCGATCATCACCCATATTTACCTCCGCCTGATGGTGACGATGGTTATGTTTTCGCCCCTGTGTGTGTGTTTGTTAGCAGAATTTCTCAAAAATGACTGAATAGATTTCAACGAAAGTTGGTATACATTTGAACTATGACCTGACTCAGAAGTTGTTAGTTTTGGAGGGTCAAGTTCATGAAAATCCAAAAATCCCTATGTGTTAACATGATGACCGATTTTTCACTCTATTTTTGCTCTGTAATTCAGTCAAAAAATGATCGGATTTTGATGAAACTTGGTGGACATATGTATAATATTATTCCTCATTGTGCTCCAAAAAATAAGGTCCGTATCAGTTGATAACGACGGACATATGGACACATTTCCGTATTTTTTAAGGGCTGAATATGATTAACGCTGGGTGGCGGAGGTATGCACTCTACTGAGTGCTCCTCTAGTTTACTGATGTATACTCCAAAAGTCAGCGATTGTCAACCATATTTTATTGATGTATACTCCAAAACTCAGCGATTGTCAACCATATTTTATTGATGTATACTCCAAAACTCAGCTATCGTCAACCATATTTTACTGATGTATACTCCAAACTCGGCGATCTTCAGCCATATTTTGCTGATGTATACTCCAAAACCCAGCGATTGTCGTCCATATATTAACAACTAATAGCACATACCAACCACAGTCAAGAAATAATTGTATTCACTATAAACATTTTAAGATTCATCCTCCACTTGCTCAACACTTACCAATCCTATATTTAAAAGTAGAAGATGAATTTCAATAATTATCAAAGAAATGGTGATAATTAACATATTTGATGAATGTTATTTTTAGATCAGATGCTTGTTCTGTAATTTACTTGCTATAAGCCAAGCTTTTAACACATAATCCAA